AGTTAGATTTTCATGACTTTTCCAAAACTTTGGGAGGAATATTGTTTTCCATAACTTTTCCAGGGCCTGGAATTAGCATTTTGAATTTCCATGACTTTTCCAGGTTTTTAATGACCTTATGAACCCTGACTTTACCATCAGGGTTTTTATAGGAACACACGAATAATCACCTGCGCCTCTGCTTCTGTGAAGGATCCGTCTGAATCTGGGTCGAGCTCAGAGTGGGACAGAAGCTCAGCCACGGAGACACTGACACAAACAAAGACACGTCATTATTGAGTTATAGCAAGCACAAATCATTCTAACTACCACACTAACGATCATACAAAAGGTACATATGAAAGATATGAGTATACCACATCAGAAGAAAAAGAGGACAATGAGAAGGGGAGGGCTTCAATGTATACTGTTCCCTTATTGCAAATGTTCAATACTCCCTGTAACTGCAAGTCTACTTCATTGGAACTGGTGAAATGTTCTCAACTGTCTTCTAAATAAAGAATTGTAAATTAAAAAAAGAAAGATATGAGTATACATTTGTTTTTAAAGAGTGATAATCTATTTCCTGGCCTTTTTTGGTTTAAATAAATGTAGTCTCTCTAGCAGCAATTTGGATTCCAATTATACAAGTCACAAAACAAAAGTGAACTTAAAAGAAATCACACTCCAGATTTACAAATGCTGCATTTCTCCTTTTCATTATTGCATTCAACCTGGTGAGCCTGACAACACAGGCTTCTCCCATGATGGCTGCTAATAGTCATTGAGGGTGCTGATACTCACGAGCCATCTGCATCATCATCCAGTTCAGACAACACCTCAGCCATTTTAGCCTTGTCCTTCTCCATTTGAATAACAGCCTTTTGTTCTGAAACAAAAAATATCATTTCTTTATTATGATTGATTCTAATCATACACACATATTGTATACAGTGTTTCCACATGCTGTTATATAACATAAACTTCAGGGCAGAAGTCTCATCAGCGTCAAGTTTTAGTATAACTAGTGCAAATGGAATCCAGGTAACTTCATCTAGCTGAAAAATGTGATAAAACAGACTGTACCATATGTTATGTGATGCTCTGTTCAAACAGGAGTGGTGAAATGCTTTCACATTATCATTTACCTTCCCAGGCCTTCAGATGGCACTCTTTGGCTTCTTTTTCTGGCTGCTCTGCAGTCTCCTTCACTGTTCTCAGGGCCTCCACCTTAGCTTCCAAATCTTTCTTACCGATCTGAATATCTGCTTGTTTGGCCTGTAGAGGACAATCAAAATGATACCTTTAATCAATTTAAGAACACACGCAATCCCTGAAAACGCCATGCCGTTTACAAAACTATACCATGACATCTATTCAAAGGAGAACAGCTGTGAGCAGCAAAGGCAACAGAGAAGAATAAGAACATCACCAACAACCTGGAAGACCTGGCACCTCTTTATTTACTATGAGATGAGCGTAATGTGCTTGTCTGTGTTTTACAGGAGGATTAAGATGGCCGTTTCTAGTTTCTTGGTGTGAATCAGGCCGATACAAAGTGAGTGGGATGATTTGGTCACTCCTACAACTACTCTCAGTTTTTGTGCATAATAAGCAAAATAATAGGTGACATAACTAGACATATAAAACATTTTTGTAAACACCTTCATCCGTCTTTATGAAAGTGTCAGCACCCTGTATGAAACATATTTGACGATGAGAAAATAAATGTTTCAGAGCTACGAATCTTAATTATTACACTAACAAATTCCAACGGTTCTGTTGTCATTCATACCTTCTTTTCCTCTAGGCCCCTCTTTGCCTCCTGGATCAGTTGTTGTTTAAGCAGAAAGCCTTCCTTAGTGATCTCTGCCATCTTCTGCAGGCTTTCCCTCTCTTTGCGCCCCAACTCCCTGCAAATCACACGAAATATAAAGAAAATACTCAATAATAAACAAAGCATTTCATATTTTCAGAACATATGCCCGGGTCCTCAGACTGGAGAGCGGGGGATGCTCTCCATCCCCCGCTCTCGCCTCCGAACTGTTGGTGACAGGGCATTCAGTGTTGCGGCCCCCACCCTCTGGAATGCACTTCCTGCCGAGATCCGTAATGCTGCCTTCCTGGACATCTTCAAATCATCATTAAAAACACACCTGTTCAGCCTGGCCTTCGGGCCCTAGCCCTTTCTTGGTCCCCCGCCCGGCTTCCTTTATTTTTTGTTTGCCCTTTGATTGTCTGTTTGTTTTGTTTGTCCACCATGTACAGCGACCTTGGGTCCCTTGAAAGGCGCTGTATAAATATAATTGATTATTATCATTATGTATAGGCTGTCTGAACAGATCAGGCTTATTCTTGCTGGTGTACTTAAGTTATTAGAGTTATAAGACAAAACCATTCCCACCTGCAGGTGTTCTGACAGGCAGCACCGCTGTTGTACTCATCTGTTGTGTCACAGCAGTCTATACAAGAAACGCAGATGTTAGACAAAAAAGCAGCCCACACAACACACCTGTAAGCGGTAGGCATAACAGTTTAAAACACATACCACAAATGCCGTCATTGATGCGGGAGGAAGGGATGAAGCCTGGTCGGAAACCTGAGTTGGTGCAGTGGAAGCTGCCGTTGGGACAAGCAGCAGTGCCTGCAAAATAATATTTGGAGTATAACAGGTGCTCCATATTGTCATGACCTTGAAAAGTTAGAAGATTCAGACCAAGCAGCTTTTCTAAACAATTCACATTACTACTAATATTCTAAATAAAAGTAACAATTATATTTAAATGTATGTCTTTTCAGTGTCAGAGCATTAGAGATACTCTTCAGTTTTATAGCCTTTTGTGACCGGTTTAGTGTTTGTGTAATACAGAAGTGTTTGATATGTTCCTTAGTTTTTATAATGAAACCATTTATTAAAGTTGTCCCTCGTGTTGGGGAATATTTTCACACCTCGCAAGGTGTGTCTTTAATGTTGAACTAATAGAAAGATGTCCAGTGTTGGATGTGTTTTCCTCTGTACCAAATGTCCACTCAACCAGGCTATGAACGGAACTCTGACTTGTGTAATGTTACACACCTACTAGATAGCAGTGTATGCATCAAAAGCATTCAGTATATACGCACCTGGTTCATCAGAGCCATCCTTACAATCACAGTAGTCATCATTCACTCTGTCAAAGGGAATCGTGCGGGAGCCATCTAGGCAAGTAAAAGGTTTGCCCTCTTCGTAGAACTGCCGTTCTGTGGAGGTTGAACAAAAGAAACGGGTCAGAGATATGGCAGATCCAAAACTAAGGAACTTATTTTGAACTCTATCCCGAGTGCAAAGTATACAACTGTACTCCAGAGGTGGAAGAAGTACTTCGATATTTTTACCAGAGTGTAAGAATACAGTGTTACAAGTCAAAGTATTGCATTGCAAATGTTGATCAAGTAAAAGTAAAACATTATTAGCATCCACATATACTTAAAGTACCAAAAGTAAAAACACTCATTATGCAAATTGACATCAATTAATACAATCTGGTAAAGGAGTAACCAATTTGTGTTACTTTGCATGCTGCAGGGTAGAAGTAACTAAAGGTATACAATAAATATAGTGGAGTAAAGTACATGATTTCCTTCTGATTTGTAATGGAGTAGAAAAACAAAGTAGCAACACATTGAAATACTCACGTCAAGTACTAGTACCTCAACATCTTACTTGAGTAAATCTACTTAGTAACGCTTCACCACTGCTGTACTGTACTCGTATGTCATTACTAGTTGTTATTATGAATTATGAATGCTTACTTGACAAAGGGACACCCCGAGGTCGTTGGACTTCCACCGCTGAGACTCCCACACTCAGCAGCAGCATTAGCAGGTACTGAGTCTGACAGGACGTCATCTCCGCAATGGATCAGTATTTAGGAATATTCAGCTGTACCCAAACCGCCTCTATGACACACAATGTGTAGATGAATACAGGAACCACCATGTTAAAACAATAAACATATCGGGACAAGAACGATGATGTTATATCAACTAAAATCCATCAAGTATCTTCGCTTGTTCTGGTTTCGACAACGACTTCTTGTTAGCTAACACAGTAACGCGAACTAGCCAATTTAACTAAAAGCAACCTCTAAAATAACACGTAAATAAATAGAAATACCAGGAGTGCGTAACCATTTATAATAACATAATAATAGCTTAAGCGTACATGGTAAATACTGTTGGTAGACACAAAGAAAACGTTTAAAACAATTGCTTAAAACAAGCTAATAGCTAATCATTACCGGTCAATGCACCGCTTAGTTCCGTGTTATCAAAGCGCATGCGTACAGCTCCGCCCCTCTGTGTCTTGTTTCTCTCTGATTAGTCGACGCTTTCTTTAGCCCCTGTGATTGGCTGAGAGCCGTGGCAGCCTAAAGAAGAGGATTCTGGGGAGGAATCAGCCTTCTCATGGCAGAGTCAGACAGGTGCAGGTAGTCATAACTTTTTACACTGTTTATCATTAGACCATGTTTCATTCAGGCATCGTACGGTAATAATAATAATAAAGTGGACAAATGAGGGCACTATCATTTAATTGTATCCTATAAAAGGTAAAATGTATACAACAACTAAAGGACGTTGCCTGCAATATCTAGTAATAGGATAATACAGTCTCTACAAACATGCTACAGTTAAAAATAAGATTAAGCTCAAATAGTCTGGAACAAGACAATATCACTTTACATACAACATTTATTTACATGACTAAATATTATTTGAACACTCTTTGGGTTTATATTTCTATTTTTTCATCTATTATTGCACTATGTGGATGTTGATTGACTATGTTATATTTTTTCAGTATCTGTTTTTCTATCCTGTTGTTTCTTATGCGGACTAAATTTGCTAACAAACCACCTAGCATATGAAACTGTAATAATAGTGACAATTGTATTGCATTTAATATAAAAATCTTACTTTATTTGTATTTTTAACACACTTTACAGTACCGAACAGTGAAATAAAAGAAAAATATACTGATATACTATAATATTGTTTTATATATAGATGTTTGCTTATTAAATGCATTTATTCACAAAATGACACCTCAGCTCTGTTGAGAGGAAAAACTTTCATAAAAATAATATAATAAAAAATAACTTGGACACATTTTACACATTACAGCAAGATCATTTACAAATATTACAATCATTTCATGTTGTTTTTTCCCCTTGAATAATATGTCTTACTTGTGAACAAACACATGAATTAAAGCCCAGAAAAAAATATTCACAGAGGGGTCTCTGTGAAAAAGTGACCTAACAGCCACCCAAGATGGGAACCACTAGGCCACCACGGGACGGACATCTAGGCTAACAAAGATCGAAGTTACTAAGAAATAGAAGTGGTGGTAGTACTAAAATGGCCAAGGTAGATAAGGACACATGTATTCCTTTTCAAAATGTCACATCCAATGTGACTACATCAGCTCAACTTTGACTTTATCAGTCAAATTAGTTCAATTTCACATGGACTATTAATGGAGAATTACTTGTTTGTTTGAATAGACCTCTAGAAAAGTCGTTAACATTGACTACTGCACAACGAGTTTGTGATTTGGCCCAATGTAAAATGATCAATGGGTGACTGCCAATGACCAAACCACCAGACACAGACTGAATACTACCTGAAACACACTGTCTGCCTCAAAACCTGACGAAATAAAGTGCTGGTACAAATATATTTGATTTCAACAATAAATGTGGACGATTAAAATATGTTAGCACAAGTGAGCGAAAACATAACTAGAGAATGAAAAGGTGAGGATGTGGCCTGCAGTGTTTTAGTGGTTCACAAAACAACCTTAAGTGGTTATTTGTCAATCATTATGACTTGGATAAATGTATAATTTACAATCCAATATTACATTATATACAAGATTGGTTATGCTTATAGCTATATCATCAACACATGATTCATTTTCTAGACCATCCACCAGAATGATATAAAAATAAACTGTACACAAACTGTTCAAAGAAAACACTTCCCATGGTTTTCTTTTCATCATTTAAAAGAATGGCAGCAATCAATCAGTTGAATACATTTCTTAATAAGAAACAATTGCTACAGTATCGTGTTTGTATGGCAAGTAAATATTGATGTTTTTATAGCTTATGACAAAACAAGAAGCCACAAAAACAAAGCAACATCTTTAAAGTGAAAGGCCGATGCATATGGGAATCTTTTATTTAAGTAACTGCAGTAGTAATCCTGGATTCCCATTGTACAAGGTGAAAGCCTGTGTGGTGGCCCGGCAGCTCTGCTCCGTCCTGCGACAGAGCAGGTCGAACACACAGGCTTATAGCTCCGAGCTGTGGCGTCTTCAGATAAGCTCAGTTACTGACCTGCAGGAACTTGCTCTTACCCTTCAAAAGAACCACACTCATGTTATTTTATTCGTTTTTTTTACCCTGTGAAAAACAAACACCTAAACAAGCTGTGACCTATTTGAGCTGATCAAATCCTGAACACCATTCAACAACTTGTGCTGATGCCGGTGAGGGACCAATGACACATATGACAACCTCTTAAGCATCCTGCCATCTCTCTCTGTTACATTTACTCATGACCACACAAAAAGCCACACAAACAAATACACGCATCAACTCCATCATGTCAAATCGATAACTGGTCAGATTCAAACTAAAGGATTAAAGGACATCCCTATTCGTTCTCACCGCCCGCAAAATCTTATCTCATAATTCTTATTCCCTCCTCATGCTTTCATGAAGCTATAAGAAAGTAATTTTACCTTCCTGATAAAAAACAGCACATTCTTTATGTTAGTCCGAGCTCAGCGACAACATTATTCGCAGCAATGTTTTTCCTTTTCCCTCTATATGCAATGCTGGATACACTGTGTATAGACACACTGATACTCACAGAAATAAGCATACTGACGTGATATAAATATACTAGGATATCTATTATATATATTATAAATCTACATACTGGCAGGTATGTATCCTGCATCTGACATTAAGGCAAAAAAGCATCAAACATAACAAGGATGATTAGGGACTGCCAGACCAGCTTTTGGTCAAGTAACGCTTCTTTCTCCTAACATTCTGCCTCCCTGATTTTCATCTTCATCCGTATTCCTTCAAATCACTTCACCCACTGAAGCTTCTCATCCTTTCCTTTGGTGAGAATCATTGTGTATGAGGAGAAATAACCACGCAGTGCAAGTGGGTGTGAGATGGCAAGTGGAAATTTGTTCTGCTGATGAAATAATTCTGTATCCCTTCAACATATTTAGAAATTGTTAAATAGAAAATAGGCAAAACTTATGCTTCAAAGCATCACATGGCTTATTCTCAGAAAGTAAAAAAATCATTCTAATAAGAAAAAACCATAAGCTGGAAAAAGTCCACTGATGGTTGTGGAGGTGGTGATGATTGCTCTGCATCTAGACTTCTGAGTTATTATATTACCAGAAGAGCAACAAAGGAAGACTTAAAACATATCACCACAGAAACTGTACGTGTGAGATACACACCACAATACCATGAACAGTAAAGAGAGATCTTTAACAAGAGACAATCAAAAATGATAACAAAAGTAGACACTCCTGTCCCACAATGCATTGCTTCACGACAGCTCCATTCAGGAAGCTGGTGTTTCAGAAAGGCACAGAGCCATCTTGCACCAGTAGCACTCTCCTCGTAAAGGGAAAGGGGTATTGGAGCCGGCGGCCCCTCCATCGCAGCATCTTCTTTTCCTTCAGCATCTTCCTCTCTCCTCCTCCAACTCTGTGGATTTTCTTTTCTTTCCGACAGAAATGGAAAAAAAAGTTCCTCGGCTGAGTAGCTTGTCAGAGGAGAACAGTTTCTGTTGAGGTTCTAACGAACATGAATTACTAATACTGACTGAACACTAGTTAATACTCCTTTAAGAGATGGCTTTTTCCAAAGAGATTCATTACTGATCAATGTCCCTCATGTAAATGCACACACACAAACACATGGTCAAGAGTGTGTGTCTGTGTATGTTTGTGTGAACAGAAGAAAATAAGGGGTACATTTGCGCACCAATTATACTGCATGACTGATGTATGCACTCACATTATTGAATTGGTATATTTTGACATGACTTGCTCCTACTATGTGTGTGTGTGTGTGTGTGTGTGTGTGTGTGTGTGTGTGTGTGTGTGTGTGTGTGTGTGTGTGTGTGTGTGTGTGTGTGTGTGTGTGTGTGTGTGTGTGTGTGTGTGTGTGTGTGTGTGTGCATCACAGTCCCAGAGTGCTACGCTGTCTTCAGTTGTCCGTCTTGAATGCTCTCCTCAGTTCCTCTTAGTCTAAAGTTCGTTGTGAAATCGGTCGGAGGACTTGTCACCACTCCAAATCTACAGTTGCTGTGTAATTACCTTCTCTTGAAGCGATTTACATTTATTCCCTTTTTGAAAAATATATTTAAAGGTCTGTACTGTCATTGCAGTCTTATTTGTTCTTGGTTTGGCCATTGAAAAGGATGAACAAAATGATGTGTGCACGGGAGGAGGGAGATACGGGAGCAGAACTCATGTATCTTCGGCTTGTGAAGAAGAATCTTCCTCTTCCTCTACAGGACTTGTGTCAGAAAGTCTTTCCTTTTCAGATCTTACCTGCAACTGAGCCTTTAGCTCCTCCTCCTGTTCCTCCTCCACCTCCTCCATCTCCTCCATTGCTACCTCCTCTTCCTCTTCTATAATGTCCCCATTTTCCTCCTCTGCCATTATGTCCTCCTCTTTTTTGTCCTCCTCTTCCTCCTCCTCCTCTTCCTCCTCCTCCTCCTCCTCCTCCTCCCCCTGACTGCAGTCTTGTGCCACGTGGTTCAGTGTAGGCATGTCCCCCTCGTCCTCCTCTTCTCCCTGAGTGCCGTCCTCCAGGGTGAGCTGAAACTGAAACTTGTCCATGCAGACGTTTAGATCCTTATCCTGGCACACAGGTGGTGGCGAGGGGCTTTGTGGGATAGTGCTCTGGTACCAGTCCCTGTTGTCCTCCAGAGTGTCCAGGATGTCCTGGGCATCAGGGTGCACAAGGTCCCCCCATGTCTCCCACAGCGGGTGGACAATGTAGTCAATAAAGCCCACCTGCATTCAGAAAAAAGAGTGTGATTCCCATGATAGAAAACCACAGATCAACATTAAAAATGTACGAGGATGACTGCTGTGATCAGAGCTGACGGATCACTCTACACCAGGGGTGTCCAAACTACGGCCCGGGGGCCATTTTGAATCGGCCCTCAGCTAATTCTGAAAGTGTAATGAAATACGGCCCACAAATGAAACTTGTGCTTGTCTTGTATTGTACTTCTTAAATATATATGTAAATATATATTACACAGTATCCATGTATAAGCCCACTTTTAAAATAAATTCAATCAATTAAATTTGAAAAGATTTTCTAACAAATCTAACTTGATAAGAAAAAAGCCCAATAACTTATTTGTATAACAACCGTGAAATAGACCCTTCATATTTCCTCTTATGATAAGCAATCTGAGGCTGCTGTTTTAAGGAATGAGCTGCCAACAAAATAAATGAAACCCTATAGAGAGCTGGGATGTATGCTGTTTTTTCTTAAATCATATTCAAGTAACAAGCATAATTTATCCACATTTGATTTATTTTGCTGACTTATAACTGAACTTATGAGGCAATATAACTCACCTCAGTGGCCCTGCCCTTCGTATATTTTTCTGCATGTGGCCCTCGGTGAAAAAAGTTGGAGACCCTTGCTCTAGAGTCTACACTGTCGTTATCACCCCGCCTACAGCATTAACACTTATCCAGTTGTGCACTCATACGTGTGTGTATAATTCAGGGCTGGTCATCTTTACCTGGCTCTTTTCCACAGAAGCAGTGTGTTTGTCGCACATGGGGCTGATCTCCATCCCTCGCTCTCTCTCCTTATCTCCCTGCCTGAAGAACTCCTCCATGATCCTCTCCGTCCATTGTCGATACACAGCCAGGGGTTTCGTAGGATTGCTTAGGTCAGCACAGTGCACCATGTTCCTTAGCACCTGCATAAACACAGAGGAACATTTTACACAATATACACCAAGTATCAAGCCCTAAATGCAGATTACCATGGAGGTCATTAACACAAATTCCAGTAATTATTTCAGCACATAAAGTGTGGTTGTGCTATTTTTGGCGGGATTGTATGTTTTATTATTTGCTAGTATAACTCCAAAATCCAATTCCCTGCCTAAAAAACGTTCTTAACGATATTCTGTTACTGAAAGATTCTGAATTTACAGTAAAATTGTTAGATATACAAACATTTCCATTAATGCATGTCCTTTTCTATTCCTGCTGATGGTTTTATCTAATCACCTACTTTGGGAAGTATGTATATCATGTTTAAAAAGCTATGCCACCAATTATGACTTCATGGAGTCTGGCTTAAATTGTTCTCTTTTCTCTCTTCAGAAAGTTGCAGAAGCCTTTAGCACAGAAACCTCCTGTGATGCTAACCCAATCCCCTTCATTCCCTTTTTAATGCCAATCATAACTCTTGTATGAAATGTGTGCCTTAGTCGTGTACTTTCTCCAATGTAAACAACCAATTTGTGAACTACAGACGAGAGATGTTCCTTTGATTCCTTTCATAAACCTGAATCAAAAGATTCCCAAAGAAATACCTGGTGGACCTCCATCAGTCAGGAATAAAAGTGGAGTACTGAACCATCACTCCCAACCTCCGTTTAGATGACAACAAAGAAAGACTTTTCCTTGGCTTACTCTTGCAAAGACAAGAATATCTTGGGATGTTCTCTTCCTTCCATTAACGGCCATCTAAATGAAAGCTCATATTCTCTCATTTCTGCGTAGTTGACATCAACCAGTCCATCAAATGCAAAATCTTGCCCCACACAAGATCTCTCCGTTGTCATTGACAACATAAAGAAGCACCTACTTCATCCATCAAATATTCAAGAAGAACAGTCCAATGCACTCTTACGGCCCATCCACACAGCGGCGTGCATTGAAGCTTGCAGGTGGGCGTGTCTGAAACTCGACCAACAACCAATCACATGAATCTCCCGCCCCGGACACAAGGGCACGCGGTTTGATTGGCTAGACTGTACTGGCATTTGATTTGCTGACGCTTCCGTCGAAGCTTCAAAAGTTGAACATTGCTCAACTTTTGCAGCGAGCAACGCGAACAAAGCGAAGCAACGCTCCCACAATGCAGTTCGGCAAAGCGTGACGTCACCCCATTCAAAGTGAATGGGCAGAAGCGTTGAAGCTTCAACGCACGCCGCTGTGTGGATGGGCCGTTAATGTCATACAACTAAAAAGCCACAAGTAAGACTTTTCTTTTTGTCGCTGCTTTTAATTGAACTATTCATATCTTAGACTGCACTGTAACTTTTATCCATGTACTTTTTCTTTTAATGTTTAATTGAACTATTCATATCTTAAACTGCACTGTAACTTTTATCCATGTATTTTTTCTTTTAATACTTATTTTATTAGCTTTTCTTTTTAATGACTGATTTTAAATGCCATTTTCTTAATGTCTTTCATTTTTTGTAAAGCACTTTGAATTGCCTTGTGTTGAAAAGTGCTATATAAATAAACTTGCCTTGCCTTGCCTTGCCTTGCCTTGCCTTGCCTTGCCTTGCCTACAAGGTTTTTCTTGTCAAGTTTGACCAATCATCCTAAAATATACAAACATTGTCCATGTTTTTAGAATTTAACTATGAAATATCCTCTAGATTACATAATAGTTTTACCTTCTGCCAAAAGAGTGCCTTAAACCTTTCTTTTTTGACCTTACTTATAAATGAACTGAAAGGTGAGGTCTCACCTGTATCCTATCATTATAATGGTCAAGCAGCAATACTCCAGAACTTGTCACTTTCTTCGTTTCCACCATAGTCTTGAGGTCGGCCAGCAAACTCATGTGTTTAGACATATCCGTTGCCAAAACCTAGGAAAACAATTGAAAACATTATAAAGGGGTGCGTAGCTGAGTGAGAGCTTCATAATTCAAGCCTGTGTGCTGACAACACTCACCATGTCAATGACAAGTTTCCTCAGACTCTGTCTCTGCCTCTTGCTCAGGTTCTGGAAGATGTCACAGTTGTCTTCATGAAGCAGCTTGAAGCCCACAGCTAGGTGATGGTTCTCCAACACAGACTCATCGTTGTACATCAGGGCTAGCTCTGAATCTGAGGGAAGCACCATCCAACACTTACGGTAAGTCAAAAACACAATCAGACTGTGGTGGCACTGTTCAAAAATGTACAACTACTCAGTTGATTAAGGAAGAAGCACAGTGCCATGTATGCTCAGAGACAATAACTTCAATTTACAACTAGAAAAAGCACACAATTGACAAACCAAACAGATGAATGTAATAAAAACGTAACAAGTAAAAGTGTGCTTTTTCACTTTAACCCAGGAGGATTCACTACAAAATGCAACACTATTAGAACATTTTAACTCAGTGGAGTGTATTATAAACATTAGACACCACAAAACTAGAACAAACTATTCAATACAGTTATAAAAACACTATAATACAATAATACTTAAAATAGCAACATAAGACTAATTGAGTGTCTTTAAATGTCACTACTTCAAATTATTTTATTTCAGATCACGACACAATAATTAATGGTATGTGCAGTATTGTCACATAAAATGATTAGTTATAATTTGATTTAGAGGATGAATATATTTAGTTTTTGGGAAACTAAAAAATAAAAACAATGTTTTGCATAAAACTGACATGATAATACTTGAAAGAAGAGTTTAGAAACAACATTCAAATGAAGCCTTTACTGTGTAAAAAGAAAATAAATACCAGGTTTTCTCAGAATAGCTAACCTAGCAAAGTGGCCTCATCTAGTTCCTACATAGTGCTTCTAAGCTACCTGCCTTGTGGTCTTTTTAAAATCAAGAGACTCAAAGATTGCACCTGTCATTATTTTATTGGATATTTGATAGCTTGCCTCCTTTATTGAGACTAGTCTTGGGGAAATACATCACGTATCTGGTGTATTCACTTCTGAAACCCTTTATCAATTCTGCAAAAACAGCTTTTTGTTTGTTATTTTCATCATCATGTCTGTTGTTTTCTATTCTTTCTTTCTGAATTGAAATGTTTAAATGTGCGTCATTTCGACTCACTTGTGTTTATGAGGAATTGGTTGGACACTCCTGGATGGTCCACATCGTGGATGGCAGCCGCAAATAACGCAGCTAGTATCTCTAGATCAGTGAACACAGCCTGTCAGAGAGAAATAAGAGAACAAAATCATTTGTAAACTGTTGTTTACACTTTACCTTTTACTATTTTATCCTTTGAGGGCTTGGTATTTGAGCGTGTGAAGTTAGATGTGTCGAGGTATTTACATCTAGAGCCGGCGTGGATAGTAGTACATGAGTAGACTGAGTGACATCTGCAGCGTGGAGGCTGTTGTGGTAGGCCACGTTGGCATGGTAGTGGTCCTCCAGGGTCATCACATAGGTGACAAACGTATCCACGGGGATCCGAAAGGTATTTAGCAGATCTCTTTCCTACAGCCACATGGTCACAGTTAAGTCAGGCTACATACTGTATAACCCATTGTTAGTGAAAGCTCTTTCCCCGTCTCTCACCTGGAAGATGGAAAACATTATGCAGCTGAGGGGTCTGTTATTAGAGAACTCCGCCACACGAAAGATATTAAGGCCCCACATGTTTAAGTCAGTCAGCTCCTGAAGGCATAACAGGAAACATTAACACATGTCACTACAACAATCATACTTCAGTTGTTTGTTCTTCATACGGCTGAACACATTTCATATCAAAAACACAATATGGATTTGTGAAATATCCAAATCACAGGAGGCAACATAGTTGTTAAAGGAAGAAGATATGTAAACATATCATTTAGAGTTAAGTCTTGTGGTTTTCCTCCATAATTCTTTAGTTAGATTAAAATGATGTTGTTTGAAACATGAAGCATGCACCATTTTCTTTGTGTTATATTGTGGATCTTGCCAAATGAGTTATTAGTTTCTCTTCCTAAGTAAATATTTGTCTATAATATTGCTCTAATCCAAGACCAATGTCAACAGGATGTTTACAGGTGATGTCTGACATTATGATAACAGTGTCTGTTTACATAATCGGGTATTCCGATGGTCAAAGAAAGCTAGTCAAATATGTCCTGAACTGCATGTGTGCATAGCCGAATGAATTTAAGCTGTAGAACATGTAGAGATGATAGACAGGAAATACATGTCAGGATTTTGGATATCTATGTAGTTGATGTTATCTACTCTGTGGGTTTACTCTGTCTAGGCAATCATTTGCCAGCTGTTTTTCCATTTAGTTCAGTTCAGATCTTTTTTGTCCCAAATTAGGGTTTTCTGTTGCGTCAAGAGTCAAGACAGCAATAAACCTAAATATTAAACTAAATAAAAACTGGGGATGCACCACTCCAACTTTTTCAGTCCAGATACCTAAAATCTTTAAAATCAGCAGAAGTTATTCTACATCTTTGTTGAATACTCAATTCTAACCTGTGTTTACAGGTTTAAGCAATCACATTTATTGTATAGGCTTATGTAAATAGTATATAAACATAACATTGAATTGATCTCAGCTTTTTGAGTCGGTATTGGCCTTGATGGGTGCATTCTTAATAACAACACAGTAAGGTGAGGATGTATTTACTCTGTCTAACGCATCCTCGTGTTCAGTCTTCACGCCAAACCGAGGCATGGTGGAGTTTGAAAGGCTTGAACTGTGCGTGAGCTTCTTCACACCGCTGATGTGACACATGGGCTTCTCCCTCTCCCTTAAAGTCGGGGATGGGATCTCCACGTCGTTCTGCTTATCTGGGGAGGGGGGGGGGGGGGGGGGGGGGGGGGGGGGGGGGCAAGAGTCAGAGGTCAGCCAGGAGGGAGGGAGACAACACTATAAGGGACTGTAAAGGTTGATCACAGATGAATGGCAGGTGTGCTTTACCTAGAAAGGTAGTGGAGATGTATTCTGACACCTGGTTCCCTGAGCGACTCATCTCTGACAAATGGGACAGCTCCCTGTTCAACATCCTCTTGAACTAAGGAAGGACAGACAGACACAGGAAGTGAGCGACTTGACTTACAAAGAAACAGAAAGTAAAGCAATATTATTATTATTGTACATCCAATTCCAATTATTACTTACACATCACAACAAAACGTACTTTGGGTCAAATGTGAGACGAATAAATGATCACCCTGACTCTGGTTTCATTAACTAGTGTGAGAAAAGCAATGATGAATCATGCCTCCTCTTTTTGAGAACATACTGGTCTATGCCCCTAAATGTAGTGTGTGTTCATTTTGAAATGTATTTAAATGCTGCAGTATTGTGGCATTGTTATACATATTCTTCTCCCTACGTTCATGAACAACTAGTCTGCAGTTCCTTGCAGTACAGACACAAATGTGATTAAGCGAATACATTATCCCTGCAGTCAAAAAGCACAGCATGCTCTCTCAGATTTGATGTCATTATTGTATTTCTAAAGGGATAAAGGTGGCGTTGGAAGGCTTCACAGAGAATCTGTTGCACAAGCCATGTGAAGGCGACAATACGATTCGGACAAGACCCCTTTCAGTCTGTCTCCTGCCGACTGATCTTTCACACATAACAATCTCCATGGCAACCAGAGCGGTTGCCGTGGAAACTGCCTCCTCACAGTCCGTCCTTCAGCTTGATGTGAGAGCGGTGGCTGCTTGGGTGACAATCTGAGGGAGTAGGCAGGTGTCTCTGACCTTTACCAAGGTCAACCCTCCCCTCCTCTGCCATCCTCCTCTCTTCATCTCCCTGTTACTTATATCTGCTCCTCCTTCCCTATCACCGTAAACAACACTCCACCACCGCTGCCCTCAAGCCCCAAAATCCTCCCCTGCCTCAGGCTCCACTTTTGCCTTCCTGCCATTTCACACACTTCATGCATTTCCCTCCATCTTTAACTCTTTCAATAATCTTTTTTTTCCATTATTTCCCATCCCATTCAGCCTTGCACCAGTTACAAGGCCAAGCAAGTAGGTGCTCTAACAGCAAATCGTAGACGCAGTCAGGCAGAATCAGTCACCAGGAGCCAGGAGAGGAAGACAAGCCCCGTGGCACACTTCGGCAGCAGGCTCAGCCCAAACCTCCTCCTCTCTCAGTGCTCTCTCTCGTTCTTTCCTTCCCTAATGCTGTAACGCTGAGTCATAGCTGCCAACCAACACTTCCACGGTGCCAGTCCGAGTGCCAGGACAAACATCACTCTTCCTCTGACACTGACTAATGTGAACGCTCCACAGACATGACCACACATACACACAAATGCATACACCTGCATATGGGACCCAGGAGGGCTTTATTCATTGTAACGGCCTACGATCATGAATAACAATAGCCAAATAACACACATGCTTAAGGGTCTGAACTACTACATCTACAAGGGATCGATTGAGACTGCAAAAATAAAAGCAGAGAAAAAGCGTGCATATCTTTGTGTTCCCAATGTTTTTCAGGAAAAAATTATCACAAAAGCCAGACTTTGTTTTGCTAACACCATACCATTTCTAAAGCCAACTTGACATATCGAAGCCAACTGACACAATGTCTAGCTTTATACATTTGATATAACTCAGTCCGGAGACAATAGGCATTGTTCTTCACTGACAATACGCCTGGCTTCTTTGAGTCTGTTTTGAGGCCAGCCTCAGGGTAGCAGGAGAGAGACACAGAGAGAAGTGGGACGCAGGTGTAGAGGAGGGAAATGGACATTATGTGACACTGCAAAATACCTGCAGTAAAAACGGCTAGACTACTACACAAAGTCCCAAAGCTATTTCTGAGATTTTAAGTGGCTCGGTGAAATCTCAAAAGGAGAGAAATGCAGACCATGTATAGAAGGATGAAGTATGAGTTTGATAATGTCTTTTTGTTTACAGTGCTGCTGCTAGATGTAATCAGCTCTGTGCCTTTTTCCCTGTTCCCTTTCAATGGATTCATGCATAACTTATGTACAGGAACACACTGCCTAACAGTTTCCCACAAAGCCACTGTCAGACCCACATACATTCAGTTCATAATTAGCAAGTCCCAATGTAGCACCATTATAAACAAACAACACCATTGCTGTTGGATACAAAACAAAGACAAATAAGAACATGGAGAAGGCAAACAGAAGAGTTGTTAAGGCATGTTTAGATGTAAAACTTGGGCATGAATCCAAGATGGCCACTGCTAAGCCTTGTTTGCCCTCTGCAAGCCTTCCAACCCTACCTGGTCCCACCAACCGATGAGCCAGGGCCTGGAGCAGGTTTCACAGAACAGGTCGACTAGGGGCGTCCTGCGCTCCGCCGCCGTCCCATTCCCCTCCAGAACCCCTCCAGATGCACCCAGGTCCAGCTCTGCCCCTGCCCTCCCCTGCAGGGGGCTGTAGCTGGAGGAGCGGGGCAGCCTGTAGCCCCCTGGTACAGGTGAGGGGCAAGGGGATGGCGCCGGGTCAATGGCCTCTACCACACCCATGTTGAGGGTCACGGGGGGTTTGGGCCGATGGCACAGGCAGGAGGTGCGGTAGTGGAGCGGCGTGGGGGCGCTGTGTGTGCCCCAGTGGCATGAGGGCGTCGGCAGGGTGTGTGAGGAGAGGCCACAGCTGGTCAAGCCGGGACACTCCAGAGTGACGGCTGCCCCGAGTGGGGGGCGAAGGAGCAGGGGGGAAGGGGGTGACGGTAGGGGTAGCTGGTGCAGACTGGCCTTGCCTACATGCAGCACCCCAAAGCAGGCCCCCCAGTCAGTCCAGAGTCGGGCTCCAGCCTCAATGTGGTCCGAAGATGAGGGTCCCCCTGATGGGCAGACCAGGAGCCCCCTGGATCCGGCTGCTGTGGAGACTACATCTCATCCCATTTGCTGAGCAGACTGACCCAAATCTAAAGGTAGAGGTGGATGGGAGCCGAAAGAGGGAAGATGGAGGGAAACGAGAAAAGAGAGGGAGCGAGGGACCGTCTGAAGGGCACAGAGAGGAGCCGAGGGTGGAGAGGAGTGAGGATGTGAGAGAGATGTAAACGAAACAATGGTGTTGCGAGGGCAGAGCTGCTTGAGAAACAGTAATACAAAATTCAGATGATGGAGGTGAGAGGGACGGAGTGACGATGGCGGTAGGACAGAAAGGTGACCATAGTCTCAGATGATGGAGGTAAAGGGAGCTTGGATGACCACGGGAACATAGGGGGGAAGGAAGAAGGGAGACACATATGACATTAGCAAGAGCAAAACAAGAATGGAGAGGATGAGAGAGAGACAGAGAGAGAGGGATGCAGGCAGGCCTGTAGCAAACAGTCAGGCTCAAGAATCACAGTAGGGCTCTGGTCTGGAAAAACAGGCTCCCTCTCCCTGCATCGACTGCCCCTCCCCCACGGTACGGATCCAGAGGCCCGGCCCAGTCCTACCGGAGCATCAACCTGCAGCCTGTGCCGTCTCACACTGATCCCAGCAACACACAGTCAGTCCACAGTCAGACAGTCTGCCTCCTGATAGCTCCGTATCCCAGTCCCCTGCTCCGAGTCAATCCATGCCTCAGCTGGCCAAAAAGCCAGAGGTCTAATCCTGCCGCTTTAGGCTGCCGTTCCTCCTCCAATGCTTTGCCTCTTGCGCCATTTCCGTGGATGCTGTAGACAGCTCTCGCAAGCTAATCAGACAGTGTGGCTGCAGGCGCATGCATGTGTGCGTGTGTGTGTGTGTGTGCGTCTGTGCTTGCTTCTGCTCTCAGCCTGAGTGCGCATGTGCGACAAGACAGCATGTACGTCTGTTGAAAATATGTGTGTGTGCAAGGGTGTGAATAAGAGTGAGAGACTGAGTGGGAATATTCATGTGTACCTCCATGTTGGCACAGTGTGGAGGATTGCTGTAGCTTAGCTGCGGCTGTGAAAAGGCAGCGACATATTCACAGAGACTCTAATCACCCCAGGAGATTTCTCTGCACACATTGTTTGTGCACACACATGAATGATGTCCTTACAACCCATCTCCTGTCATCTCTCCCTTTGTCCTTTAATCAAAAGCGTGACTGATTAAAAAAGGGAGTATTGTCATTCAAATGGATGTGCAACATTGAAAGAATATCTAGAATAAAACAAACAAGGTACATGATGCTGTCTCTTTAAGACAGAACACTATTAAAGGAGCATCACCTCCATTTCATTGGTTGTTGCCCAAACCACATGGCTTGTGGTCAGAGTGGCAAGCCAATGACTAAAAGGGAAGGGCAGACCCTGCTGCTGTTCTATAGCAACCAAGGTTACAGCAGAGACATCAGCATCAGGACCCTCTCCCCCTCCCTGTCATGTCCTCCATACCCACAGTCCTTACTCCCTCTCTCTCTCCCATCCTCGAAGCCCCACAATTACAAATGCAGGCACACTTAAGAAGCCGCCCATGAGCACAAATGCAGGCGTGTAGATGCCATAATGCAAATTCAATACAACCTGTCTGCATCACTTGCAGTTGTCACCAGAAATGCTCATCTAGACATCATCAGCGTTTAGTCTAACATGGATGATATTCATTACAATTACAACCACAGGATTGCACATAAACCAAAGATACTTAATAACAAATAATTACTGCTTTTATTGAACAACTCTTGGTTTAGTGGCATCTCTAGCAGAAAATTATTTACCATTTATTTAAATTGTTAACCTTCTGTGTTATATGTATTTATTTGTAGAGTGGAACCTGATCCACATGAAGTGTTGAACTGTACCCTTTAACCATGAAATACACAGTGTATAGGTCATTTATGAACAAGCTTAGCTCCACACTGATTTAACGTAGAGGTGTTAGTGTGTGGACAGGTGTGCACCTTATTGGAGGCCATCTCGCTGACGGAGCGGTGAGTCTGAATGGTCTCCAGCTGGTCCAGACACCAGTCCAGTTCCTCCAGAGTCTCCCGAGCCATCTGCTGGTATGTCTCATCTGAGGACGAACACACAAAGACACACACAGACATTGAACAAACTAGCAGTAGAGAAAGGGCACAGAAAGTGGCATACAAACTTGACGACCTGAGAGAATACATTCTATTTTAAATGAGCTGTGACTGTAAAGGTCCAGCAACCCAGAAAGGTGGTAAACAATAAGAGTTGACCAATGTCCACCTTGTCTGCAAATAATAGTGTTTACATGGCTGTTCAACAATACAACTCAAAATGAAATGTGCTTCTACTCATTGATTGATAACACAACATGCGAATCAAAGTCACTTGTGTCATGCCGTCACTTTGCTTCTTTTTGTTCAATATATTAAATTATATTCAGCTGAATAACACAACATCTTTTTTTGTATTAACACGTAAATAAACCTCTAACATTGACAGCTCTAATTTGACATATTTCTATTGAATTCCCTGACAATTAATACATCTAAGTTATTTTTTGTTTCCTTCATTTCATTTCAAACCTTTATTTATCCAGATAAATCCCATTGAGATCATTGAACTCTTTTACAAGGGAGACCTGCTAAGATTGTTGTTGTAAACATTATTTTATATTTGTAATTATAATCAACACAGTTGGCATTAAATTATGATTAGTATCAGATGGAAAATGTATTGACATGTTATTTTTATGCTTTTATGAGTGTGTGTGTGTGTGTGTGTGTGTGTGTGTGTGTGTGTGTGTGTGTGTGTGTGTGTGTGTGTGTGTGTGTGTGTGTGTGTGAGTGTAAAAGGTGCTATAATAATTAAACGTATTATTATTATTATTATTATTATTGTTTGTTTGTTTGTAGCCTTTATTTAACCAGGGGCCTATACTAAGAAGCTGGTTCAACCTAACCTGGATATGTTTGAGTTAGCCGGTTGGCCTAACCCAAAACATACGCGCTCTCGCTAAACTGTACTACGACGCTGGTTATCAAGTGGATCGCTCAAGCCAGCCGTGTCCTATCTAGTTAGGTGCGCGTTCACATGAAAGGGGTGGTATTTGGAGCATTCGACCAATCACAAACATGGAGAAGCGTACTGACAGCGCAGCGTCATACTTCCTGAATGAAAAGTGAACTTTAATACTAGTCAAAAATGAAGAAGTTAAACTTTAAACATCCATGACTTAAACACTTTATCCAGGATAAAAGCCACATAGTCTGCACCTGCAAGGTGAATACAGCTGGCAAAAGAAAAAGTGTTTGAATGCGTACATTAACAGGTTTATGATATCACTGCCCCGTCTAAAACACGATCTGACTTTAATTACATTTGTCTCGAGTGTTTCGTCAACTTAATGTGTTGCTTAAAATAATACTTCTGCATACAGTAGGCCTATGTGACACTGTGAGTGTTGCACGGCCAGATACGGCTCAGCTGACTCAGATAAGAAAATATATGATACATTATGAAGTGATATGCCGCGGACTGTACTTAATGTTACTCTGATCCGGTTACTTATGTTGTGGTAGATATGTGGTAAGTGTTCTTAACGCTAATGTTATAATAGTCAGATTGCTCTGAAGATGGGAGGTGATATTCTATTAATGTTCACGTTCACACAGTCGGTGATTTTTGCCGGCCGTCTTTCCTGCGACCGCAGCTTTTCTGTATTTCCTTTCTCCTGTAATATGACTTGATCGCTTTAAACTCCGCACACTGAGCTCTGATTGGTCAGCAGGCAGTGCTTTCACTGAGTTGAGCTCTTAGCCTGCAACCTAACCTGGTCCCGACCAGGTTAGCCGCTAAGCATAAGTTACCATGGAGATCTAGCCCGCTAAAAAGAGAACCAGCTTCGTAGGACCGGAAAGCCGGAGTTTCCCCTGAATTTAGCCGGCTGAGCGAAAATCCTGCTTCGTAGTATACCCCCCAGGTGAAAGCCCCTTGAGATCAAAAGATCTCTTTTTCAAGGGTGACCTGCAGGACATTAGTTACACATGTAACATAAAAACAACAGAATTGTATTGTTATTATTATTATTATTATTATTATTATTATTATTATTATTATTATTATTATTATATACAGTTCAGATAAAAGGTTCTGTAGAGTGAAAAATAAGCTTTGCAAAAATGTCCTTTGAGTAAAAAAAGATTAAACTCTCTAAACATCAGCTTTATTTTTTATAACATAATTCTTTCAACTTTAGCAACATATGTTGAGTAATTTAATATCTGTCCAGTATGCAGTATACTTTTATTTAAGAACATACTCAATACTGATACCACATAATGTTTTGTACTGCTCTGCAGTCATTCCCATTACTGATGATGCATTCAGGGAGTGTGGGAGCCAGAGTGTGTCCTTACAGCTCTGTGAGTTTTAATTAGCTGACAACCTACCAGAGAGTGTAGCTTGGGGAACAGTGGGCTGGCTTGTCACTGGTGACCTCCTGTGGACAAACACATCATTACATGAGAGGCAGAAGCACACACTGCTGCCCCCTGCTGGGCTTCAACACACTTTCAGCATTACAGAAGGAAGCAACAAAAGGCATGGCTCACAGAGACGATATAAATATATTAATGTATGTTATGCATTTATGTGTGTCACAAATGGGGCTGTGCTTTCTAGATCCTTGAATATTGAATTAAACTGCAATGTGTGATTTATTTTTAGTGCTTAAAGAGGCCATTGTTTCACTTCAAATATTAAAATATCCAAAAATAGTCAAAGACAATGCCTGAGCCCTGTTCTCCTTTCAAGTAGCCTTTTTGGTTTCATAATTGTGTAGTAAGTGAGGCTGAATAATTATAGATGCTGATAACTCTGTGGTGCATTGGTTTATATATATCATATTGACGTGGAGATAAAAGGCTGCCAAGTCGAGCTCCTTCTATCTGCTGCATAACAAAGGAGAATCATTTTAGTGTTACTGACTATCTCTATCGTCTAGGTAGAGTCAGGGACATACATCTGAGGCGTGCTGCACTCAGTGTTCAGCCAGCAAGTTGGAGAGATGCCAAATAATGCAGATCATATTTTCCTTGAGCACAGCCGGATAATCATAAACTGTTTAATCATGATGGCAAAAGTGTTTCCCCTCGGGAGCGAGGAGAAGGAGACATAAGCAAACATACACTGCAAACTAAGCAGGCAGTCGTGACGAGTGTAAGTGGGGGGAAGGGGTGTTTGACAGCATGATACTGACTTGTTAGTGGTTGTTGTGACATTGGCGAGGATGGTGAAGTTGCTTCTTACAGTTCGTAGGCTGGCCAACACCTGGGGGATGGATGGACAGCGTAGGAAGGAAAGAAGGAGGAGGGAGGAAACAGGAGGGAGGAAACAGGAGGGAGGGCAAGTTCACTGCACCAATTAGCCACCTCTTCTAGTCATTTACGGCAATTAAACATGTCAGATCAGGTGCACAAACATACCTGAGCGAAAGGGGTGACGATCATGTCTTCGGCGTGCCTGCAGGACAGAATATGCAAAGAAAGAGCTAAATGAGAGGAATGGATGTGAGGTGTTTGGTGCTGAAGCACTCGGTATCAAGTGTTTATCTGAGAGGCTGCATCTGTGAGCTGCATGTTTACAAATACCTATGCAGATCTAAACACAGACACAGTCCTAAAATAAGCTAATGGAAGAGTTTGGGTGTGTTAAACTTACTGGAGGACAAGCCAGGAAATTGGAGAACAACAGTTACTGTTAAGGGGATTCATCATGATTTCATTAGCATAATGATTGCATAATTACAATCATAACCACTGCTGTGTTGATTGAGATGATGTGCTCTTGCTCTGTGTGTGTGTGTGTGTGTGTGTGTGTGTGTGTGTGTGTGTGTGTATGTGTGTGTGTGTGTGTGTGTGTGTGTGCGTGTGTGTGTGTGTGTGTGTGTGTGTGTGTGTGTGTGTGTGTTTAAATTGCATCTGCCAGGATGATGGCTTCATGCTTACCCCTCACTGTTGATGGAGGAGTTTCGTGACATGGTTTTCGGCGACGTGTCGAAGTCTGAGTCTGAGCGGTACAGGAAGGACTCCCTGCGCTGGCTCTGGGGGAAAGAAGGGTGGAGCACCAACCCAGGACTCGCCTGCGAATCCATGGGACTGCGTCCTGGAGAGGGACCATTCTCTGAATCGAAGCTGAAGGGTTAGAGAGGACAGGCAGAACATTGGTTTTACATCTGCTGCATTTAATGAAGGTGTTTGTTTTGCCTCTGCTTATCTCATCTCACGGCGACAACACGATAAGCCTAAACACCCAAACATTAGCCACAGAGTGCAGCCTGCTCGAGTGTTTGTAGTTTCTTAGAGAGGAAGTTAATGAAAGAGAGTTGTGACAGCAGCATGAAACATGCAGTTTAACTCTGATGTGCCACTGGATTGGCAGGCTGCCACCGGGCTGCCCTGAGAGTTACACTCTACTGACAAGTCATATTGTAGAGCAGGTCGTGTTTTAGTGAGTAAAATGAGCCATATCAACCGCAGCGTCTCTCTGTGCCAAAGCTGTCTGTATAAAGGTGAGCTTGATTGAGATTTTTTATTTAATTCTCTATTGGGACAAAACGCTGACAGTATTAGGAACACTTCCATAAATTAAGACTGCTTATAAGGGAACATGACAAAAACAGACAAGGTGGAGACTGGAGAGTAAATATACTCAACCAAAATATATTCTGCCAGCACATTCCTGAGTAATGAGAAACCCAGTACACAAGGCTGAGAGAAGTGGATCAATTCAAAGACGAGTTTAGCCAAAGGAGACACGGCAACACGCTTCTCTGGTTACACTCATCTTATCTTCAGCCCAACGTTTTTGTGAAAAGCAAGAATATTGATTTTGCAGCTAAGACATTAAGTCAGTATTGATCGAATGGGGTTTTAGAGTTTGGTGTCATGTTACAATAAAATGATGTACAATTTGTTTGTAATACTGTCAATGTTTGTGAAAAGTATATTGATACAAAATCTACAAGACTTCAGTTATACTTCAGATGTAAAAATCATATGAATCTATTATTGTGACTTTCAGGCTGCAGTAGTAGGTGTTGGGATGGCGACGACAGATGGGGAGCAGGTTTTTAGGGTTGCTGCCGCATCTATTTTTAATGTAGGATCACTTTTATCTCCACAACATTTCCCCACTTCACCTAAACTTATCAAACTTTTGGTGTCAACACACTTTTGAACGGTTTTCAAATTTGACTTAAGTGATATTTTTTTAATTTACTTCTAAATTGGCCAATCAGGAGCCACTCCTATCCCCAGAAGGCATTGTGAATATGGCTACAGATCAAATGATCATTTAACAAGTTTCCCCGGTAATGAAAAACGCATCCGAACTGTCTGCCAGGGAGACCCTCTGCTGCCGCACACGCTAATCCTCCTTCTTATTTTCCTCTGAAAACGTTGGGAGTAATTATTAGACTCGTTTCTCAATGTAGCTTTCCCCAAAAATCTAATCCATCTAGAGTGTGAACATGGAATAATTTACTCTGAGATCTTGCATTACAGACACGTTGCAGCACACATAATGCCTAAGCCTTGGTAACACAAACATAAATGAGAAAAGTTTCTTTATCAATAGAAGATATGTTAGTGAGGACAAATCAGATGCTTGGATACCTGCTCAAACACAGAGATAAGCGTCCTCGCTCCTGAATACTGCGGTTCAGTTTCAAACGTCGAAACAGAGCCGAGCCCCCGTTTCCTCGCCACTGATCGACCGGTGACACTGGGGAGGTGAGGGGGGCTGCGTGAGGAGGACCATCAGGACTCTCCCTCAATGTCAGCTGTGGTGTCAGCCTCCTCTGACTCATCGCTGCTCTCTGGCCCTGGTGTAGCCCACCAGTTAAAGAAAACTCCCCCGGCCTCCACTTAAAACCGGCTGTCTCGCTCTGTTTGGCTGTCTCCCTCCCACGCAGTCCCCCCTTATCCACTTTTTAGTCGTCGACTCACGTCTCAGACAGACAGAACCGCAGCACCTGCAAACTGTGCTCAGTCCTGAGCAAGATTTAATAAAAGGCCTGATCCTCCCTTTAGTCCTGCTTCCTCATGCCGGAGGAGTCAAAGTGCATACACATGCATATCCCGGCTCTGATCCTCAGGCCCCGGCTGCTTAAACTCCAGTTCCCCCCTTCTCACACCCTCAATTTGCTCCGTGGATTAATGCAGGTCTCCTTAATCCTTGCCTGTGCACGTTTGTCTTTTGGTTGGTTGTTTCCTCAGACTCCCAGAACAGAGCTCTTCTGATATTTCCCCCTCTCAGCTCTGTTCACTGCTGCTGCTGGGACCAGTCTGCCCAAACTGGACCTCTGTCCACATCTGGACTCGGTTCTGCTGTCTCACATTCACGTTAAGACAACCAAGACTGCAAAAACATCTGTGGTGACCTCTGTTAATATTGAGGCAACTTAAACAATTAGCCAACTTGTTGCCCTTCAAGTTGTATCTCTTTTTATCTCGTCCCCCCGCCTCACCAGCGCTAGCATGTGCTCTGACAGTCCTTATCTCGCTGCTCGCAGTTCCTCTGCAGCAACAGGAAGGCTGATAAGTAAAAGTAACAACAGGCGCCAGAGTAGAGCAACACACAATTTGAAGAGAAAGTAGAAAACATCCCAGAAAGAGGAGGAGAGAAGAGAGAGAAGTCAGGGTTGACTCATGCCCCTGTGTAAATGTTTACATATTCTACTTTACAGCGTGCAAGGTTTGCGCCCAAAACAAAACATTTCCTATTTTGACATCAACCGCTCTTCCCTTGGCCTTTAGATGTGAGCAGACACAGCAATGCCTTAATGTTGTGCATGAGCAACAATTAGACCATGAAAAAGCTTTCAAACAAGGTGCGTTAGGTCAACCACAACTAATGCAGTGATGACATGGGAGATTGCAATGTTAGACAGCCTCAAGCATGAGTTTTCCTTCTTTACACTTACATGGTTTCTCAACTCAATGAGGCTCAATATGCAGAAATATTTGACTGCAGTGTTAGTAAATACTCTGGTTTTTAGGATTGCTGGCAGCTTGTGAGAAGTTATTATGATGAGGTTGTTTATTACTTGTGTATCCAAAGGCATTGATTAACAGCTTTTGTTAAGAAGTACATTAACCCCTCAACTGCAGAAATGGTGTTTGGAAACAAGCGTGTTGCAAGTGTGGCAATTTCCTTTAAAGAGAGAACTGAAGAAGTGGTGAGCATGTGGTGAGCACACAAACACATCATTCTCAGTAATGAGCACTGCTTACTGTATTTATTTACATAGTTCTACTTTACTATAAAGTTAAACTGTTTTATAGACATCGTTTTTTCTCTCACGTATAACTGAAGAAATTCATTTCATTTTCACTTCATTTGAATCTTTATTTCAAACAGGTTAAAAAAACTAATAAAATAAAACAAATGTGCAAAACAGAATACCGTATTGTTAGAATACAGTATTTATCAATATTCATAATGATATTAATATATTCAACAAAAAATATTCATAATAATAATAAATCATGTGTGTCCGAAAGGGAGCAGGAGGAAGCAAATGCTTGAGTCGTGGATGGCATTTGGACACAAACAAACCTTAGCATCAGAACATGAGAAATGTATGTGGTTTGTTTCATTGTAATTTGAAATAAATAAATGACAGTGACACAAGCAGGTTTTAGTTTATTGTTTCTGATCATTATACTCAAGTATTTAACAATTTCTAATTACATTTTCTTGTTAATTAGTGTCTGTAATGAAGGCAGCAAAATCAATAAGAACAGACCATAAATTACATGCGGCCCAGTCTTGATTAAAACTAAGTCCTAATTTCTGAGTGGAAAGCTCACTCCGACACTTTTTGTTTTTGGTAGCAGGGCTGACCTTTAGTCTGTGTTTGGAAAACAGATTGGACATCTTAAGTTGTGTGTGTAAATGTGTGTCGAAAGAAAGTGTGTGTGCCAGCACCTCTGACAACCTGCATATGTGTGTTTGTTGTGGAAATAATTATCATAAGACGCCAATTAGTAACATACAAGACAAACCTCGATGTCTGTTTACCTTCTTTAAGGACACAGGCGGCTTAGCCAATAATGTTATTGTTCCCATTCTGTGACCGGTCAATACTGGGATACAGATGGTCTGTGTTGTGGGTACACTGGGACACTTCCTTCTCTGTATTTGTGGACTCCAAGGTAAAATCTTCGAGGTCATAAGTGTCCGAGGCAAGTAGCTCTGTGCTCCCACACTGTTTAGGCTATCTCCTCAAATATGTTGTTTACTCTCTGCGAAACCAGTTAGATGGGCTGGCAAGAGAGAGGCTCTCCAGAATTGACGTGGCAACTCTACCGTGAAGTCAGAACCTCTGACTCTTGGACTTGTGATGTGAATCCTCCGGCCGTTAACTCCAAATAAACCATCATGTGTTTGACATCAAAGCTACTGCTCTTCCCGTGTCTCCTTCCTGAGTCGGTGACTCCCACTGCATAGCTACACAGAAGTTTCCACTACAGTGTTTATCTGTGACTGTGGTGAAGCACAAAGAGGTAAGATATTCAAACGTTGGTGTCAACATTTGAATAAACACGCCGCACATACCAAATGAGAGCACAAATGAGATGCCCCCTGAAAAGTGTCTGTTTTCCCCTCAGCTGTTCTGCAATAGCAGCTAACAAGAAAAAGCAAGCACAACCTGCTGCCTGAATTTGGTGTTCCACCTTTCCGCAAGCATCTAAAAGCCCGCGCACAGCAAAGAACAAAGTGAAGGTAAGATGCCTTGTCAAGCTGCTTCCTTCTCTCCTCCTGCCTTCCACATTCACTAGCTTATTGTTTCTCCTGACTCTCGCTTTCTCTCCACTCTTTTCCTGGTAGAGTGACTATCGTTTGTTTATGACACACAGGGGATGGATGGGTTGTCTTGGAAATTCGCTTTTTTTAAAGTCCTCACATACAGCCTGTTTGAACAGTGCCTTTCAAAGACAGACTTTGGAAAAATGTCAAGAATTCTGATTCACATGACAGTTACTATTGTAATCTCTGGAGAGCTGATGAGGAGACAATTATTCTATCTTATATTAAATCCACCAGTCCCTGCTGCCTGCTCAATAATAGCTGGTGTGAAGCCTATCAAAGTGACTCATGCACACATGTGGACACACACACCCGTGGA